AACCAGACTTAACTTTTTGTTTTTTTGATAAACAATAAAACGGATTAAAAGTAATAATTTTTCTTTTTAGGAGTCGAGAAGAAACACCTCGACCTTTTTGACCTTTTGTCCTTATATCAGACATTTAAAATAATCTGATCTAATTCAGTACAAAAGTGTTAAAAATATATTTCAATTATAATTTAATTGTAGACGGCAACAATTAACAACAACAAAAAGTTATCTTCAGCTCATATAAGTCAGGTCGTTCATAAAGCGCCATAAATAAAGTCCCAGCATTCCTTGTTTGTAGCTCTGGGTGCCTGTTGGGGCTGACTCTCAGCAACCACCACACACCGTTTTAACTCCGTGTAAACATTTGTTGCCATTTGAGTGTTGACTGTCGATCAGCTGTGGCGGTCATCTTAAATTGAAACGTTTCAGTTGTAGAGGTTCATCCAGACATCCGGGTCCAAAGATCTCACACAATCAAAGATTATAATTATGAACAAAGTAAAGATAAATCTTTAACAGAGTTTACTTTCCACACCGTCTCGCCTTTAGTGCCGGTTTTAAACGGCGTGTTAACAGATCGACCTCTTTGCTTCAGGGAAAAACGCTGTTCGACTGTTCTGGTTCCGTTCATCAGTTGTTTTTTAATCCATTAAAATGTTGTTGGTGTCAGATGGTGCATTTATGTGGATTTGAACGCTGGTGACCTTCTGCAGGACGGCGATCTGTTCTCGGTCACCGGTCCAGGCTGATTAAACCAAGTTCAGGTAGATTTACAGTCTTTGGTTACGACGTCTCCAGTCTGGTGTTTATGAGACGGGATCGTTCCTGCAGGAGCTTCAGCTCCATGTCCTGTTTTTACTTCACACCCCGTTTGAAACTGCAAATAAATTTCAGCGTTCCTGTGAACACAAGTGTCTTAATTATGGCTCGAATCGACTGCAGCCTCTTCTCGTGTCCCGTCGTCTTCAGTCGGTCACAGTTTGGTTTCGAAGGTCTCCACAGCTCTCACTTTGACTCAGGAAATCTAAATCCACTCGGCTTCCAGGCGCCTCCGTTTTCAGAGTAAATCCAACTTTACGACTCGAGAACCTTCAAGTGTTTCAAGACGTTTTGGGAACTCCCTCAGGAAGAACGTGTTTCACCGATGGTCACAGTTCAGAGAGGCTCGAGCTCAGTGCTGAAAGAGTTTACTAATAAAAGGCTTAAAATGTTGGTAATCTTTGTCGTGTGACGGTAATATTGATTTTATGCATCTTCTGAAGGAGAAACTGTAGAAATCACGTTTCTGTGAGAAGATGAAGATCTGGACCAGTTTTCAGGGTCAGGTTGTCCATTTCACTTGGTGTGTTTGGGAGCGGGGGGAGTATGATGGTTGGGGCCATAATGAACTTCATGTTTCTGTTTTATTAAACTCAAGTTATAACTTTGTGTTCGAGAGCCCCTTTTGTCCTCGGATCACTGATTAAAACCACCGCCTGCGTGATTTTCTTTGTTTTGTCGTCAAGTCCAGAAAACTTCTGATTCTTATTACTTTTATTTCTCCGTCGTAATGATAAATACTGTTAATTAACCATTTGTTACGGTGTTAAAGGGATACTTCAGATCATTTCAAGTGGAGTTCTGAAGAATTAACGTTTGAGCTGGACAAAGGCCGGAGTAGATTGCTGCTGTTTGTTTCATCCAGATACTGTTTAATGAACCTTAACCCTGTTCCACACTACTGTTGTTATGACAGGATTGTTATAGTCCTCCAGGAAGTACCCAAGGCCGCACAGGAAGTGCTACAGCAAGCTTCCTCTTCAGCTACTTTGTTAAAATTAAAACACAACAGACTTCTGTTGATAATTAACAGTTGGTTTGTGAAGGTTTTCATGAAATGATGTTTGAGATCGGCAGTGATCCTCTTTGGTCGTGACTGCCTTGAATAGGGCTGAACGATTAAGAAGATATTCGAAATGTGTTGTTTTTTTTTACCTCAATATTGCAATTTAAAATGTGATTATTTTTCAAAGCCTACTTCTCATGTATTTTTCAACAAACACAATCAATCAATCATCTGTTTCAGTTGCAAAAAAACTCCAGTTTTCAGCTTCTTTGCAACTTTGTTTCTGCAACTTTTGTGTATCTCCGGGACAGCAACTTGACTAAAATGTGTGCACGAGGGTATTCTGTACCGCTTAAACCCAGGCCTGGTCACTAAATTAATGGGCAGCACGTCCTTCACTATGAATTTGTTCATACGGAGTAACACCTTGGAACAGTTCGGTCAGTGATCCCGTCGGCTCATACTTTGCTTACTTTTAGTTGAAGCGCCGCTCGTGGCGTTCCAGCCGCGCAACTATCGTAAAAGTCTTTGTGGTGTTTTTGAAGTGTTGGTAAAGATTTGTGGTGTTAGTCGAGAGGTAGCAGCACGGCGGGTTCTGCACATGTTGTTGCGCAGCGTCGTCGTTTTTACAGACAAAATAATTCCAAACAACGGACGTGCTGCTCCTCTTTGGTACCAAACTGTCAGATGTGTCGGCTTCTGTCGAGCCTGACGCCATCGTGCGTCCGGTTACAGCGCAGTGTTGACTTCTCCCCGCTCCGCTCACTCCCGTGTCACGTGACCAGATCACGTGACCAGATCACGTGACCAGATCACGTGACCAGCCAAATTGCAGCCTTTGCGATTAGAAAATCTCGTTTTATCATATTGCGATATCGCAAACGCAATTAAAGTGGAGGCCATAGAAAAATTACCATAAATTGACTTGTCCCCACACCCCTGCAGTAAAATAACATCACCTGGTTCATTTGACCAGAAACATTTATTAATATTTCTGTATTTGATGCGTCAACATTAAATTAAAACATCTGGTCAGTTTTGGAGACGTTAAGTTAAAATGATTCATAAGATCAAACGGAACATCTTTTTAAATTATTTTTTACCAAACAGCCCCAGCTCATCCTTTTCCATCATTTGGGGATCTTAGTTGAACCCTGTGGCTCACAGACGGCGGGCGATATGCATTCAGTCAGAGGAGTCTGGTCCAAGTTGCTGTGGTCGGTATCCAGCCAGACTTTAAACTCAGATTTCTGCGTTTTGTTTATCGTGTGATGATAACCTCGGTCTGCTCCAGCTCTGGCAGTGTGTGTTCACCTGTAATCTGATAGATTACACCTGGTTGGTTCTGACCCGGGTGTCCGCCCGCCTCTCTGAGGATCAAGCCTCTAGTTCAGTTGGAGCCTCGCCCGACGCGGCTCTGATCGACGCACCAGGGGTGTGCTTCAGGAGTGTCGCAGTGTTTGTCAGCGATTGGTCTGTGAGGAGCGCGCGGCTGTTTATCTCGGCAGAACAGGACTGGGTCTGTGAACGAGCGAAAGGAAGTGGCGCTCGCAGGAAACGCTGCAGCTGTTTGTGTCCTTGATGCTGCTGCAGAGCTCCTCAGACAAGGAAACGTGGCAGCTGAGTCGAAGACGGACTGGAGCGGCGTGTGATGGTCCTGGTTGGCCTGAAACGTCTCCCTGCTCTCAGCTTCACGGACAAACAGAGCTCTGGGGGAGGATGGGGGGTCCTGGTGTCTGCTGCACTGTTTGCTGACCCAGCCCCACCTCCTCCGGCGCTCCTCGGCCTGTAGGAGGCCGTCTGTTCCCCTGCAGACTGTCCCTGTTTCGCTCCCCCCTCCTCCTGCTGCTCTGGTGGGGCGTGGGGGTGAAGAGAGCAGCAGTGGACGGTCTATCTTTATCTACAATCTGAGTCGTTATTCTCATTGTTCAGTCTCCGTTTGGACACACGGCGCCCCCGCTGGTCGCTGCCTCTCGGTGCAGCAGCAGACATTTTCCTCTCTTCTGCCTTTGAAATGGCCATTCTGTGTCGGACCCGTAAGATGGAGAACCTGGCTCTGACCGCAGACTCTGTCCTGGCTCACTCCTCACCTGTCCAGGTGTGGGTCTGCAGCTGTGAGACCCTGCAGCTGCAGACCCCGTGGTGCTGATTCACTGACCTCTGCAGTCCGACAGGAGAAACGCTTTAATGAGACCCGATCCAAACCCTGAAGTCTGAGGACGAGTCTGTGATGGAGTCGAACCCCAATCAGTCTGCTCCTCAGATTAATAATGTGAAATTATTATTTTTACATGAATGTTTCTGTTCAATTATTATTTTTATAGGAATGTTTCTGTGAAATTATTATTTTTTTTATGAATGTTTCTGTTCAATTATTATTTTTATATGAATGTTTCTGTT